AACGTAAAGATCCAGGTTCCCCCATCATTTCATGTATCATTGGTAATACTCACATTGATAAGGCGCTTTTAGACTTAGGGGCCAGTGTCAATTTGCTTCCATATTCAGTCTATCAGCAATTGGGTCTAGGTGTACTGAACCCAACCAAATGCACCTTACAGTTGGCTGATAGATCTGTTAAGGTCCCTATGGGTGAGTTAGAGGATGTTCTGATTAAAGGTTGGAGATTTTATTTTTTCAGTAGATTTTGTAGTCTTGAAAACACAGCATGTTTCCAATCCCAAAGGACAGACACCTGTCATCTTAGGACGACCTTTCTTAGCCACTTCTAATGCTCTCATCAACTGTAGAACTGATCAAATGAAGCTGTCATTTGGGAATTTGACTGCTGATCTCAACATTTTTAATCCAGGGGACCAACCAAATAATCAGCCTCTAGAAATAAATTATATTCAGGAAAGATCAGAAGAAGAAGAAGAAGAAGAAGAGTCTGATTTGAGTTTTGAGGAAATTTTTGATGAAGAGTTAGAATTTTTAGAAGAAGCAGATCAGGTCCTTGAGAATAATAAAGCTGTGTTAAACATTTGCTGTTTTGAATTAAATTTTGAAGAACTCTTTCTTGATGAACTTAGATTCTTGGAAAATAATCAACAACCAAATTTTCAGAACTCTACAGAAGAATTGGTTGTTAGAAAACGAAACTTCACAGTACAAGAGTCTAAGTTCAGTAAGAAATGCAAAATGCATGACACCAATAATACCTACCTTATTTTGTTGCAAGAATTATTGAACACCTTTACATTATTGATTATATCATTCTGAATTTATTTAAAATCCGGGGAAGAATTTTCAACAATAAGGTAGGATTCAATGTAGAATACGAGCTCTTCGTGTTGAACACTTCATTCTACATTATTTGTTTTGTTTATTTTAGAATAATAAAAAGAATTTATTCTTCTCTCATTCGAGAGTTTCTTATTCAGTTGAAAAAAAATAAAAATAAAAGAAAAAAAAGAAAAAAAAGAAAAAAAAGAAAAAAAAGAAAAAAAAAGAAAAAAAAAGAAAGAAGAAGAAATTTTTGATTCCATCCTCCTCAGACCAAAGGTAATTGCAGATTTTTATCAGCTGACCAAATGTAAGTATTTCACTTCTTATCTGCTTTACTTTATACATCATAGAGTTTGCATTGAGGACAATGCAAAATTTAGGTGTGGGGGTGGGAATTAGTTATTTTTTTCTCTTTTTTTTACATTTTTTTGTTGCATTTTTGTCAAATTTTTTTCCTTTTTCAAAAAAAAATTATAAAAATATCGTCACTTGCCAAATTGATAGAGTTATGTAATAATTGATTTATTTGATAAATTTTCTAATTTGTTATTTACTCAAGTTCACTTTTTATGATAACTCTAAATAAAGTTCTTAAGAAATGATTTTCAAAGTAGAATACTTTACTTAAGCCTTAACTTAGCTTTTTATTTAAAATAATGGAATGCATGCTTAGCTTAGAGTTAAAAATAATTTTTCAAAGTGGCTTGACTTACATATTTTTCAGAATATATACACATATACATATAAAAAAATTACAAAAAAAAGAGTGCGAAAAATGGGCACCAAAAGAAAAAAAAAAGAAAAAGAAAAAAACTCTTAAATTCAAGGTGATTCTATCTTATAAAGCCTAAGCTGATCGAGTAATTAAGCCCAAGGAGTATTTTCGTACTTAATGACCTAAGCCCAATTGGGTTGGGATCTATTGGCCTAAAACTCGTTAAATGGTCGCTTAGATAATGACCTAAGCCCAATTGGGTTGGGATCTATTGGCCTAAAACTCGTTAAATGGTCGCTTAGAAAGCCTGTTAAAGTAGAAAAAAAATCACCAAGGAATAAAGAGTTAAAAATAATAATAATATAAAAAAATAAAAATAAAAATACTAATAAATGTTTTATATATAGTTATATTTGTATATATGGTCTTGGAAAATATTTTAGATCAAGCAACTTGAATATTATTTGAAACAAAGAGTTAGCATGTTCTTTTCAAAACTTTTAAATTAAATTTCTAAGTTTGGCTTGGTTTTGTATTGCTATAATGAGAATGTTTTCTAGAAAATTTACCTTAGAGTTATATATAAAAATATTTTCTTGAGTAATAACTAGCTTCAATTATCAAGTAAAGTTAGTTATTTACTAACTTCTTTAATTTGGTAAGTTGACCGAATTTTGTGGGTATATTCACTGCAAACCTTCACGAGACTACAACTCGTCCACTAGGGTAACCTAGGGGTTTAAAGGCTTGTTGTATGCGCTAAATACAACCGTGATTCCTGCGAAAGTGAGTTAGGTTTTCTTTTAGTTTTCTTTCTTTGCTAGAAGACTAGCAAAAGTTTAGGTGTGGGAGTATTTGATAATCACATTTTATTATAATTTTATACCCTCATTATTTATTTTTAATGAATAAATATACCACTAATAATTGTTTTTTATCTTTAATTGCAGGTTAGTGAAGAATAAAGCCCAAGATCTCTTATCTCAACAAAAACCCATGAATTAAATAAAGAACACAAGCAAGAGTCAAAAAGCCCAAGCCCAGAATCAAGCCGAGTAGCCTGTAGAAGCCGGAGAAAATAAAAAAATTAAATATGAAAAAAAATGTATTCAAGATAGTTGGCCACAAAGAAACGACGATATCTCCCAATCCGGGAGGTAAAATTTAACATATAATATATGAAAATCACCTATCTTGACGAGACGAAGCTAACTGTGAAGTCAGAATTCTTATTAGAGCATCGATGCCAGCATCGATGCAGGCATCGATGCGGCCATCGATGCCTGTATCGATGTGAAGTCATCCAGATTTCATCTACGGCCGAAATTACATTCTTGGGGCTCAAGTTTGATCCAAGGGCTCTCATTCACTGATGTTTACTATAAATAGGGGTTGAGAGTGAGGGGTTAGAGGTGTGAAAATTTTTGTAACTCCTTTTGGAGGGGAGGGCTACTCTTAATTGAGAAGGCATTCCAAATTTGTAACTTTTTATTACAATTAATAATAATAATTTTTTCACCACTTTAAATATTTCTTCTCTTTGTTGGATGATGAAAATGGATATGAAGAATTAATTAGAGGTTTGCATTTCTTTTATTTTTCTCTTTTATTTTTTTTTATTGCTTATTAGTTTAGATTTATTTCTATGCTTATAATTAGATTTTATTTTCTTGTTAAATAGCCAAGAGGCTAGAACCCTCTTGCCTTAGATTTATTTCATGCTTATAGATTAGATTTATTTCATGCTTATAGAGTAGATTTATTTTCTTGCATTTAATTCTTGCAATTTATTTTATAGTTTAGATTTTACAATTTATTTTGTAGTTAGATTTTAATTTCTTATACTATTCACCTTGAGGATAGAACCCTCTTGGGTTTAGTTTTTCTTTTTGTTTATTTTTATTTTGTTTGATTCGCCTTTAGGCTAGAACCCTCTAGGGATTCACCATTTTCTAAGAAGTGGGTTCAATTTTAGATTACCCATATCTATAATTGAATCCACCATCTTTAATTTCTTACATTTTCTTTTATTCTTGAATTTTATTTTTGATTTGTTTCACAATTTTATTCATTCTTCTTTCTTGCCTTATTGATCATATTTATTCTCAAACACATTGATCTACACACTATCACTCTCATTATCTCTCCACAATCACATTCACTCATCACTCCTATTTGTCACGCACATAACATAAGATCCGATTTTATATTTTCTCCTATAAAAACACCTTCCTCGTGGGATCGATATCTTTATACTATAACTTGACACGGTTGTGCACTTGCAACCTTTTTGGTACATGTTTATACCGCATCAACATGGAACTGTTGTAATAATCTGATATTCAATGACAAACCTGTTACTCCGCTCCTGATTGCATCTAACGTTGCTCGTTTTACGTTATCCTAGACATGAGCATCGAGTAGCAAAAAGGCTCCGCGGCTCCACAAGGCAGCCATTGATCTGGGATTTAATGAAATGGTCAGAGGGGGAGCGGATTACGCAGTGGGAGATAATTTCATGGCAGCAAACTAGCTTCAGCCTCTCTTAGAGGATCTTCTAAGTTTTCCTTTTGTGAAGACCATCTTTTGTTTTCAGGTGTTCTGTCTTAGGAGTAGATTGTGTTAGTTCGGTTGATGCTGTTTGATTTTCAGTAGGTAGTGCAGTTTATACTTTTGGTTTTAGTGTGGGAGTCTTGAAAACGAGGCAGTATATGCGAGTGGGTGACTACTACGTCTGCTCCCCACCCCATACAGCTTCGTTCGGTTTCAAATTACTCCTAAACTTTGTAAGCTTCATACTTTCATTCTATATATATTCAGTTTGGTACCTCACCCTACTTTTTGCTTAAAAAAAGAGGAGGGAGGGGGGGGGGGGGTTGGTGCGTCTCTTAGGGCTGGCGACTACTCCATGCTAGATCAACTCGTACCATGCTAGTCAAATTTGTGCTAATCCAATTCGAGTCAATTCGAGCCACCCTTGAGATTGGGTCGGGCGTCCAAGTGTTTGGGCTGGGAAGACAACTCAACCCGGCCCACTGAACCGACCCATTCGAGTCGGGCTGGGTTGGTCAGCCGAACCCACTAGATTTCTTTTTTTTTTCTTTATTTTATTCTTATGAACTTTAAAAAAAATCATTTAGATGATTTTTTGACCTATCAGATAGAATTTTACTACTTATTCAGGAAATTTTATGACTCAACTCAAACACTAACATGCTAAATCAAACCCGGCCTACAAACGTACTGGTTCAATGCGGGATACCCTTAATATCCGTTCACACATTTGGACGGCGTGCCGATGGCATGGTTCACATACAAGCAATCATCTATGATCGGGGATGTTGATGATCTGGATCATAGGACTTAGATGCGTGCTACCTCTGCCGTTCCGCGACACATTAACCAGTTATGTTGAGAAACAAACCGAGCTCCTGTTTATTCAAGTATGATTGTGATCGATGCACTAGGATACATACTTAGCTTATGAAAATACAAGCATGTCACAGTTTGGGGAAGAGAAAATAAATTGGTAACAACAATATTTGCAGTACCATAATCTGATAAAGAACTAGATTTCAATTTCTCTTCAGCTTCCTTCACCCGTCAACGTACGCAATGCGACATTGATTTTCCACCTATTAAGCTCCTCAATTATTTCGAATATTTCAGTGAGATGAAAATGCCTGTACAAGATGGAAGATCCGAAATTAAGACGGAAGATCCAAATTAAATCAAAAGCTTAAAACTTTGTTATCAATTAAAAGATTTAAGAAAATAAATACACTACCGAGAAAACATTGCAATGTCCGGGATCAGCTAAATGGGCCATCAAATTCTCAATTGGGCCTTCTCCAGTATAAATAGCCTGAAACACAAAGCCCACAAATGCAAGCATAGCCAACCTCCCATTCTTGATCTCCTTTGTCCTGAGAACCATGACGGGTTCGGGCGAGCCCCGGCCCCAATTAACCGGGTCGAACCAGAGCCCGCCGGGATAGCCTACATCGGGCTTCGGATTTTTTCGGTTGGGAAACTTAGGCTCAATATCGACAGAGCCGGGCTTGATCATGTCAGCCCATCGCCTCCCCTCAACCCAGCCCATGAGAGCCATTTGGGTCACAAATAGAGTTGTGGGGTCCGTGAAGTATTGCCGGGACCCAGCATCATACCAAGAGAAGTCATCAATGAATTCAAGCCTTTCAAGGCATTCGGGGATGAGAATGCCGGTAACCGCTAGCATTGCCCATCGGCTGTGCATCAGTTCGGCTTGCGCAAACCATTTGAGGAGCTCTGGGTCAGATCCTAATTAAAGAATTAATTCATAATTAGAAATATCGACGAATTCATTTTATGAAAATAGAATTTTGAGTACTACTATGAGAGTATAGCTATTTATACTGTTCATGTTCTGCTTTATTGGTATACCTATTTCCTAGTTCCTCAGAGAAGGTTATTTTCACGTTAGTTTCTAGACTCACATGGCGATCTCATGAGGGTAAGAGCGATACGTACCTTATTAGCAATACATTTCTCTGGTTGTCCTGACTCAAAAGTCGTGGCGATATTATTTTTCTATTAGTTTTCAAACTCATGGGGAACCTATTTTATTTCAAATCTAACTTTGATCATTGCATGATTTCAAGGGAGTTCTAATGAATTGAAAACACAGATTTGCTGGAGTCAAATATCGCATTATGTGAAAATAGAACATGAACGTTAAGTAGCTGCGCCGCTATGGTATGGAAGTTGAGTCAAAATAGTAATATTTTGAAACTAAAAGTATAAATTGTACCCACCTAACCCGAGGGGATCAAAGCCAAAATCTCCAGGGAGGCTACAAGATTAACAAGAGAAGAATTCAATCAACATGCAATAATCATGAGATAATTAATCATATATAATTTTGAGAATAATTAAGATTGTATTACCTTCCATCAAGCCACTCAGGAGGTGAGCTGCCAGGAAACCAAAGAGGCCTATCTGGAGGGAGAGGCTCACAAACACTTGAAACTCCTTTGCTTGCTCCAATGCGAGTTGTTAGCTTCGCAAAAGTCTTATTTACTCTTGGAAGGTGTTTAGGAGACCTAATCCTGTCAGTAATAGAAACAATTAGAAATTTTAATTTTTATATTCAATTACTAGTTTGAAGAATTTGGTACTAATCAAATGAAGAAAAACAAAGAGAGATCGAGGATCAAAAATGAATGTCCTCGCAGGAGATTGGAGATTGATCTTATTGATAATAAAATGAGAGTTGTGTTCACCATAAGAAACAATTAAGAGTGATATAATAGTAGTCAATATTAATGTATAAGATAATTCTTAACACAACTGAATGGAAGAATGACAAAACTTTTTGAAATAAAGACATTAATATTTGTTAGGATACACCCCAATAAGAACGCCTCTAACGGAGACGCAATACACAAAATAAAGGCATAAGATCAACCAGAGTACTCACAGATATACGTGGTTCACTCCTTGAGACGCAATACACAAAATAAAGGCATAAGATCAACCAGAGTACTCACAGATATACGTGGTTCACTCCTTCGGAGCTACTCCACGGTGCAACGACGACGCCAAATTCTTTTATATCCCAAAAGAATTGATCCAAGAGAACACCCTCTCTTGATCAGATACACTCCAAGAACTCTCACAAACTCTCTCTGTGTTTTCTCTTACTCTTCTATAAGAGGAGTTGTTTCTGGGATGAGATTTCCTTAAGAGTTTAGGGCCCTATTTATAGTGTTTGGGAAACACTATGCATAAATAAAATATTATCAGTGGGACCCGCCACTAATAATAAAATATTTGTGAGACCCACATCCTTTATAAATTCTCAACAATGGCTGCCACCGAATTTGATTTTTCTTCTTGTGGGGCCCGCCTTTGTGGGCCCCACTTTTGTTTTGTTAGGCTGACAATCTCCCACTTGAAGATTTGATTGAATAACAATCATATCTTCACACCATTCTTGGTTGCATCATTCGGATGTCTTGTATCTTTGGCGTCTTGCACGGCCTTCAACTTTCTCAACGGAGGCCATATGAGGCTGCACACAACCTCACCTTCTCGAGTGGAACTGACTTTGTCAACATATCGGCGGGATTATATCTCGTATCAATCTTCACAAGCTTGAACTCGTTCCTGCTTTGCCATCTCCGTATGGCATGATGCTTCACGTCAACATGCTTGGTCCGAGCATGGAATGCGTCGTTCTCTGACAAGTGAATGGCACTCTGACTGTCGCAGTGGATGAAGTATTTCTCAAAGCTTACTCCAAGCTCGAGAAGAAAAGCCTTCAACCATAGCAACTCCTTTGCTGCCTCTGCTGCAGACACGTACTCGGCTTCGGTTGTCGACAAAGCCACAGTATCCTGTAACTTGGATCTCCAACTTATCGCTCCACCACCCAAGATGAAGATGTAGCCGCTCGTACTCCTTCTCGAGTCTATGTCTCCGGCATAGTCTGCATCACAAAAGCCCTCTAGCTGCAAATCTGCCCCGCCATACTCAAGACAACGGTCGGACGAGCTTCTCAAGTAGCGTAGAAGCCACTTGACCGCACCCCAGTGTTGTTTCCCTGGATTGCTCATAAAGCGGCTCACAACTCCTACTCCTTGTGCAATATCTGGCCTCGTGCACACCATCGCATACATCAAACTCCCGACGACAGATGCATATGGTATGTTTGTCATGAACTCGTGCTCTTCAGCAATCTCTGGTGCTTGGGTCTTCGATAGCTTGAAATGACTTGCAAACGGCGAGCCCACCGGTTTAGCTTTCTCCATGCCAAACTTTTCAAGAATCTTCTCAATGTAGGCCTTCTGAGACAACCTCAGCCTCCGTGCTGATCTGTCTCTGATGATCCTCATCCCCAGAATCTGGTTTGCTGGACCCAGATCCTTCATCTCGAAGCACTCGGAGAGACGCCCCTTGAGTTCCTCAATGCGGGCCAAGTCGGGCCCTGCAATCAACATGTCATCAACATAAATCAAGAGTATTACATAAGATTCACCATATCTCTTGATAAAGCAGCAGTGGTCTGTGTCGCATTTGAGAAAACCGTTCTCCTCCATAAAGTTCTCGAACTTCATGTACCACTGTCGCGGAGCTTGCTTCAGGCCATACAAACTCTTGCGCAGGCGACACACGAGGCCCTCCCTGCCTCGTTCCTCGAAGCCCACTGGTTGATGCATATAGATTTCTTCCTCCAGATCTCCATGAAGGAATGTCGTCTTCACATCCATCTGTTCTAGGTGGAGATCTCGAACTGCTACAATGCTTAGCACAGTTCGGATCGTGGTCAACTTGACGACGGGAGCGAAAACGTCAGAATAATCAATCCCTGCTTTCTGTTCATAGCCCTTCACTACAAGCCTCGCCTTGTAGCGTCTCCGTCCATCGGCTTCATCCTTGACCCGATAAATCCACCGATTGTGAAGAGCCTTTCGCCCTCGTGGAAGCTTTACAAGCTCCCAAGTCCCATTCTTCATCAATGACTTTATTTATTCCTCCATGGCAGACTCCCACTCACCCCGAGCTTTGCCGGTCTGCTATACCTCCTCATAGCTCTCTGGCTCACCACTGTCAGTCAGGAGAAGATAATTCATGGTGGAAAGGTACCTCTCTGGCACCCTTGGATTTCTTGGAGCTTTGCGAATTGCGATCGGCAACTCTGCTGGATCCTGCTGCTGTGCATCCCGCACGTTCTCTTGGTCTCCATCTTCTATGCTGATTGGTATCTCACCGCTGTCCTCACTGTCAGCAATATCTGGGAAAAGAGCGGGAGATAGTTGACTCCCACTCACCTCTTTGGTCTTGTACATCGCATTCTCATGGAATACGATGTCACGACTGCGCACCACCTTGCGCGCATCGTGATCCCAGAAACGGTACCCATACTCATCTCCTCCATAGCCGATGAAAGAGAGCTTCTTTGACTTTGGATCAAGCTTTGACCGGTCTGCAGGATTGGTCATGACATAGGCGTCACAACCAAATACTCGTAAGTGCTCTAGCTTCAACTTCTTTCCGGTCCAAGCCTCTTCAGGTATCCCATAATTGAGAGCCGCGGATGGCCCGCGGTTGATCAAGTATGCAGCAGTATTGACAGCTTCAGCCCAAAAGCTCTTGGGCAATCCGGAGTGGATCCTCATACTTCTGACGCGCTCCAAGATAGTGCGATTCATGCGTTCCGCCACTCCGTTGTGCTGAGGTGTGCCTGGGACGGTCTTCAGTCTCCGAATCCCACGGGACGAGCAGAAGTTCTCGAACTCCTGGCTGCAATACTCGCCTCCATTATCAGACTTTAGGCACTTCAGCTTATTGCCTGTTTCGTTCTCCACACAGGCAAGCCACTTCTTGAAGATGATGAATACATTGACTTGTGCTTCAAGAAGAACACCCACAATTTTCTCGTAGCATCATCAATAAAAGTGACAAAGTAAAGAGAGTTACCAACAGATGGGACTTGCGCAGGTCCCCACACGTCGGTGTGCACCAACTCCAATTTCTGCAGTTTTGGAGCCGATCCGGTCTTGTTGAAGCTCACCTTCTTTTGTTTGCCTAGGATGCAGTCCTTACAGAAAGTCAGATCGATCTTGTTCAGACCCGGAAGCCTCTCTCCCGCAACCATAATCTGCATCCCCTTCTCGCTCATGTGGCCAAGTCGTCGATGCCAAGTCATGCAGTCGACGAATGATGATGATGATGCTTGTCCTGCGGCAAGCAAGTGGTCGATCTTCCCGTTGGCGATGTAGAGAGACCCCTCGCGTTTGCCGTGTGCCACCACCAGGGCACCCTTGGACACCTTCCAGCTTCTCTGCTCGAAGGATACTCTGTAACCGGAGTCAGTCAGTTGCCCGACTGATATAAAATTTCGCCTGAGATCTGGTACATGCCGAACATCATTCAGCGTCAAGGTGGTCCCGCCCTCCATCTTGAGGGTACAATTTCCCTTCCCGGAAACCTTGCAAGGTTGATCGTCGTCAAGATAGACTGTCCCTAAGTCCTTCTTCACGAACGATGAAAGCAGCTTTTGATGTGAGGTTGCATGGAAAGATGCGCCAGAGTCGATGACCCATGCATCACTTTTGTCTTCTAGGGATAGGAGAAGTGCATCCGAATCCATCTCGTGCATGAGATTGGCTGCACCGTCAGCCCGATCATCCCCTGCTGATGCTTGAACAGTAACTCTGCAGTCCCGTGCAAAGTGGCCCTTCTTACCGCATCTGAAGCACTTCCCTTCACCGTAACCATTCGGGTTAGGCCCTTTAGACTTCCCTCTGGATTTTGATTGGCCTCGTCGTCCCCTACCCTTCTTCTGTGCACGCCCTCGTGCCTCGACATGCAGAGCACTCCCACTGCTAGAGGCCTCAGCTCCTGAGACTTTGCGGCGAGATTCTTCATCCAGAATTGCCCCAACCACTGTGTCGAGCTTCATCTTGTCATTGCCATTAGCGTTGCTTACCGCCATTACCATATTCTCCCATGAATCTGGTAGACAAGAAAGTAGCAGAAGAGCTTGGATCTCGTTGTCGAACTTTAGATCTACTACAGCAAGCTGTTGCACCACAGCCTGAAATTCGTTCAAGAAGTCCGCCATGCGAGCTCCTTGCTGCATCTTGAGATTGAATAGCTTCTTCATCAGGTACACCTTATTTGAAGCAGACGGCTTCTCATACAGCGCCTCCAAGGCCTCCATCAACTCCTTGGTGGTGGTCGCATGCGAGACGTTGTAAGTCACATGCTGGTGAAGGTTGAGCCTGATGGTGGCAAGTGCTTTACGATCGAGCACCTTCCACTTATCGTCGTCCATCTTCTCAGGTTTCCCCGCCTCTCCTTGGAGGGGTAGGAAGAGATCCTTCTGGTACAAATAGTCTTCTATTTGCATCCTCCAATACCTGAAATTTTGGCCGCCGAATTTCTCAATTCGAAGCCTGTTGTCTTCAACTGTAGATCCCATGGCGAAAGATTACGTCTTTCCCGTATTCGTGAATAGTACCGTATTCGTAAATAGTATCGTATTTGTGAATAGTACCGTATTCGTGAATAGTACCGTATCCGTGAATAGTACCGTATCCGTGAATAGTACCGTATCCGTGAATAGTACCGTATTCGTGAATAGTACCGTATCCGTGAATAGTTCCGTACAAGTGAATAGTGCCGTACACGTGAATAGTGCCCAATACCTTAAAAGAGTAAATATTAATCTAACTTATTTTCTGATGTGGAGGATCCACTTTTAGTGGCAGCCACAGAGCATATGATAAGCAGATATATATACTCTAAGTCAGGCTCTGATACCAGTTGTTAGGATACACCCCAATAAGAACGCCTCTAACGGAGACGCAATACACAAAATAAAGGCACAAGATCAACCAGAGTACTCACAGATATACGTGGTTCACTCCTTCGGAGCTACTCCACGGTGCAACAACGACGCCAAATTCTTTTATATCCCAAAAGAATTGATCCAAGAGAACACCCTCTCTTGATCAGATACACTCCAAGAACTCTCACAAACTCTCTCTGTGTTTTCTCTTACTCTTCTATAAGAGGAGTTGTTTCTGGGATGAGATTTCCTTAAGAGTTTAGGGCCCTATTTATAGTGTTTGGAAAACACTATGCACAAATAAAATATTATCAGTGGGACCCGCCACTAATAATAAAATATTTGTGGGACCCACATCCTTTATAAATTCTCAACAATGGCTGCCACCGAATTTGATTTTTCTTCTTGTGGGGCCCGCCTTTGTGGGCCCCACTTTTGTTTTGTTAGGCTGACAATATTATTGTTGTCAATTAATGTTGGTTTTTTTAGATGAAGGAGACGCTATTAAAAATTAACTTAGGGCTAGTTTGGTAGTGTTGGAGCTAATAATAAGTTGTTTATAAAAGCAGCTTATAGAAACAACTTACACAAGTTGCTGAAAATTAACTATTGGGTAACGAAAGATCGAAAACTACTTAAAAAATATTTAAGGTGTTTGGTGTGTAAATATGGTATATAAGCGTAAAAAAAAGCTAAATCTGCTTTTAAACGCATTCTTATGTTGCTTCAAAAAGCACCCTCTTAAAAGCAAAAACAATTTCAATAAGCATGTTAAAAAAGTTTTCACCAAACACCATTATTGATTGCTTCTTGAAAAAATAAGCAGAAGCATCCTAAGAAAAACAATATCAAACTAGCAATTGCTAGGCTTGCGACATGATTGGGTAAATTGTGGATACTCCCCCATCTATATCTTTATAGTAGTCGTTAATAACCCCCATTAACTTATTTACATGCTCTCAGCCCCCCCCCCCCCCCCCGCTCCCCTCATCAGATGGTTGTTACATGAAATTAAATAATTTTAAAAAAATATCAGTCCAGTGCTCTGCGTAGCACTAATAAATGAGTTGAGAGGGATTATCTCCCACTCAAATATAGATGATGATATATCAACCTTTAACTGGCCTTTTAGTTAGCGAAGGTTATTAGTCAAGACGGTTTAGAATATAACATTATAGTCTTCAACTTTAGTCATAATGAACATTAATAAGATAGCACCGGAGAAGTACAGATTCAAATCATATCTATGCGTTCAAGAGAAACTTCAACCTCCTGATATGAACAAAGACATTGAAGCTAGACAAACTAACATGCGAGTATAACATTGGTGAAAACAAATTCAGTATCTTTCAATCATTAATAATTTGCAAAGATTTTTGGCCAATTGGCGGTCATATACAGAAAAAAAAGAAAGAAAGAATGGAAAAGGAATTTGAGATCGAATGTAAGCTAACCTCAGTTTGGGGTTGCAGAGTGGTGAGGGACCAAGAGCCAATGCCATGGGTAGCTTATTTGAAAGTTCAACTCGTAGAGAGAGATGACGAAGATGACGATGATTTTATCTTTTGATAGCTCGTAAGAGACGGCACGGCTTATTTTGGATAGAGAGCAATGAGAGGTTGCCAAATGGCAGGTGTAGGATCAGTGACCCCCTTAACCTCAAAATTAGCTTTGGTTCCCTGATTTTTCACAAGGCTCATAAATATTTGTCTAAGCCCTCTTGTTGTTGCTTTTTTATTAATGGGATCCCCATGGACTCAACTTTGGGTGGATTATCGATGATTTGTTCTCCTTTTGTCCACAAAATTCATGATTCTTTGGATGAGAATATCAGTACTACTTTTATTAGATAAAAATATCGTAAACGTTTTTGCTAGATTATAGACTCGGTTTGGCAAAGGGTTAAGAATGATGGATTAAGGAGAAGGGTTAACATAGTTAGCCTATTTGTTAATCTAAAAGATTAAGTTTTTTAATTTGTTAGGTTAGTTTATTTTAATTATTATGGTCATTTTTTGTGTTTGGGAATAAAAAGAATTATGACCGTTTTCCTTATAAACAAAGGGATCATTTTTAGTCCAATTCAATGTGGGACTACACCCATATATTAATTTGGGAGTATAGTTCAACATTGTTCATTCTCATGACGTCATTAGACTTCACATTGGACTTAACTTTTTCTTTAATTAATTAGACCGTATAATCTTAGCTCAATGACTTTGTTGGTGTAGAAATAGTCACAACTTAGAGTCAATAGGTCTCAAATACAGTTACGAACTAATTTTAATCACAAAAGGCTATAGGCACTAGGTATTAACCTCAACTTCTACTTTAAACTCACAACTCTATATAATCTTATCCAATATGAGGCTATACACACATATTAATAATCACAACAATTTCAAATATTATGTGTTTTTTATAGACTTGGAATTTTATGATGGTTTTCTTGATAAAACTAATTTATTGTAGTTCACATTAGTTTTTTAAAACACTTTTTTTTAAGGAAAACAAGGGATATACCCTGTCATATATATTAATCAAAAGTATTTACAAAAGAAGGATATGAATTACAATAAATTAGTTTAAAACACTTGAAGCTCACCATAACTCCTATCGGTCCTAGTAGCTAGTAAAAAAAATTCATGCTAGTTTCCTCTAAACATTTACACTATGTTTGGATGGAGGGTAATGGAGGTAAGGGAAGGGAAAAAGAGAGTTACTTTGTTTGGAAATTTTTTTTTTTAAAGAGAGGTAAGTGAAGGGAAGTAAGGCGGAAAAAGATTCAATTTTGTTCCCCTCCAAATTGGGGGTAGAAGAGGGGAAGGAAAAGAAAAGAAAATTTCATAATAAAAGAAATATCTTGACTCTCTATTATAATAAATCAATGACTAAAATTCATTTACTTTCCTTCCCTTCCCATAATTAGAACCCCCAAACAACATAATTTAAGTTCAACTCCCAAACATAGCATTAGGCTTGGTTTGGTAGGAGGAAAGATGAGGGGGAAGGAGAAGGACAAAAAATTATTTTTGTTTTTGGTAGAAAATTTTTAGAGGGAGAGGTAGAGTGAGGTGAGGGGAGGGGAGGGAAGGGAAGGAAAGAAACATCACAAAATGAACTAAAATTTCACCACCTCCCTCTCCTCCCCTTCAATTAAACAAAGGCTTAAAAGAATGTACGTTCCTCCACCTCATTGCACCTCCCCTCCTGTTACCTACCCTGCTCTATTCCTCCCACCAAGCCTTTAGAGAAGTGTATTGTTGCTTTTGTGCGAAACATCCCAGAGTTCATCGTATTCTTGTGAAATTTGCACTTCCATCTCTCAACTTTTTTTTTAAAAGGCCAAGGAAAAGATATAACGACGCATAAAATGTGATGTTCACTATCAACTACTTGTCCCTATCCCCTGAAATAATTCTCAACTTAATTATATGTTGACTGTTTAATACTTCTCACTCTGTAACAAACACAAGAGCATCCTAAAGCCAATCGGTAAACAATTTTGATTCCGTCCATAATTAGAACCTTCAAAAAAGGAAAGCTTAACTACCAAACTTACCACTTCGTAATTTAAAAAAAAAAATTAAATAAGCTTTGCAATATTATATGTCACTCCATATTTGCTACCAGAAATTTAAAAAGGGAGATTAGGTCTGGACTTATCAATGGATTGATCAAGCACAACAAATTTTGACTAGATGTATCTAATAACAGAAACTTTAAGATAATTTATTTTAGAAATCAAGGCTCGTGTCAGCAAGTCAATGAATTAGGCATCATCTGAAGTTGTAATAAGAACCAAACTAAGTGGAGAGAGATTCAAACTGACTAAAGCTTAAATCTTTAATCGCTAAAAGAGCGTGTTCATTTTGTTTTCTTGAGCAATTTTTATCTTGACCTCTATATTGTAGTCTTATGAGAGAATGAGAAAATAATAGCATTCTTTAGTTCTCTTAATTAAGAGTCTTTTAATTGAAAAGTTGGACATAAAACCTAATATTCGATCTGTTACTGAAACTTGATGTGTTTGGTGTGTGTTCGGTGAAGTGATATAGTTTTCAACGATGTTGTGAGGTCAATTCAACAAACCTACCACATCTAACAAAGGCACACTTTACCAAATATCATTGGTCGGTGGGACAAAAATCTACAAATTACTCATTTACAAATTGTCCTTAAAAAAAGTAATATCCACAAAGATATTGACCCTTAACTTTCTAGAAATAATTCATATTGCATTAAAAAAAATCACATTTTCTCCCATTAATTGCAATTTTTTTGTTTCTAGAATTTTAGGGAGTTTCGTAGATTAAAAATAATAGATTGAGGAATTAATAGAAATGCTTAATTCCACTTAAATATCATGTAGACCCCTGCTTTGCACTTATATACCCTCACTTGTTTTGGGCACACTTATATATCTAAAGTTTGAAAACTTGCACTTATACTCTTACTTGTTTTGAGTGTAATATGCCAGATTAGCCTATAGCCTTTTTCCAATAAGGCCTAAAAGTTGATGCCAGTGACAACAAAAACCTAAAAATTGATACTTAACCAATGAGGCTTACTACAATCATCATATTTTTATTTTGAGAGTGAAAATTAAGTATTTTTGCTTATATATATATATAAATACACACACACAAACACACACACACATAGACACACACATATATATACCCCTTGAATATTCCACACTTATAGATTTGCCTTCCAAAATTCAAATATTTGTAATAAAAAAATTACCCCCACAACCATCTCCTTCATCCTCCTCTCCTCCCCTCTCCCACTCCTCTCCTCTTTCCTCCTCCCCAAGATCCTCATCCTCACCTTAGCCTCTCCCTCGTTCTCCAACCTTACCTCTTTTCTTAACCTCTCTCTCCTCTGTCATCTCACATTCCTTCCCTTATCCTCTCAATTCCTTTCTCTCCTCTCTTCCTCAGACATTAGCCAAAAGCGAAGGAGGGAGTGGAGGAAGAGAAGAGAAGGAGATGAGGATAGTGAGGGGAGTGAGGAGAGAGGTTGAGAAAATGAGTAATGTGAGTGAGGAGAGAGAAAGCATGTGTTTTTTGCAAATATTTAATTTTAGAGGGCAAATATGTAAGTGTAGGATATTTGAGGGATATTATGTAAAAATCCTTAAGTTCACTACTCAAATCAAATTTTTGGCGATCGGAGTAGATTTTATTCGTTATGTGTGTCAATTTCTAGGTCTTATTATTGTCGATGTCATTTTTTGGCCTTATCAGAAAATGAATGTCACTTCATGAGCTAATTTGATATTCTAGCTCTTATTTTGACAACATTTATATACATTAAAGTTCTTAAAATCTTACACTTAAAATATCCAAATTTTTTAAAACTGCATTTTATGCCTTTAGTCATGCACACTTGAGGGTATTTAAGTGAAAATATTAAAAACTTTACGATATTCAAGTGCCAACTTTAGAAACTTTGTATTATTTAAATACAAGTCAATACAAGTTTAAAAAACTTCTAACTTTATAAGTGATATAAAAAACAAGTGAGGATATACAAGTGAAAGTTTTAAAATCTCTAGACTATTTAAGTACTGTCAAAAATAAGTAATATGTAAGTGCAACACTAGGAAAACTATATGGTATTTAAGTGCAATTAAGCCTAACAAAAATGCAAGGGTTTATTTGGATTGGGGATAATGTGAGTAAAGGGAAGGTAAATGATGCATTACCGTTATTTGAGATAGTTAATAAGGGAAAAGTTAAGGTAATGAAGAGGGAAAAACTTTAGATTTTGTTCCCCAAAATTGGGGTGCAACGGAGGGGAAGGTATGAGAGTGCAACTCTTAAAAAAGAGAATATTAGACAAAGACACTTTAACCCCCCTATATCAAGAGGAGATTCAAAGGAGTGAAATAACATGTAAGATATTTATGTAAATTTACATATATTCACTTACACCCCATTTACTTTATTAGACTTTCCAAATGACGTGAAATAAATTTCCCTTGACTCTCCTTACGAATTTCTCAAACAAGTTTTCTATATTTCCTTACATTCTCTTAGCTTAATTTATTTCATTTACTTCCCTTTACTAGGTGCAAATCCAAACAAGCCATAAGGTAAATCTTTGAGGTCTAGATTAAAATAATAGATGGAGGGAGAAATAAGTATTTTTGAGGGGCTTATCTGAAATTAAGTCCGTCATCTCAGTAATTACCCCTTTCTGCCAATTTCCTCTTCGATCCCGATCCACCCTCTCCCCTCGACATCCCTTCACTTCTAAACCACTCCACTGCAGTTCAGTGCCCCGGAAAAGCCCCGCCTTTTTTAAAATGCCCCTCCCCAAAACCCTAACCCTAACCCTAACCCTGATTCCCCCAAAACTCCTCTGATCCCCCTCGCCATGGTCGAGATCTTCTCCTTCTCAAAATCCGCCGCTTCATCCAATGGATCATCTCCTCCCCAGTGACCGCCCTCACCATCCTCTGGGTAATCGGGTTCGGATCCGTCTTCATCTGGCAAACGAGCTCCGATACGGGGATCCGGATCTTCGGATCTTTTGACAATCACGATCCGATACCGAGATTGAGGTCGCCGATGTTCAACTTGACGGAGTTTGGGGCGGTTGGGAACGGAAGGACGGTGAACACGGCGGCGTTCGAGAGGGCGGT